TCTGAATTATCAACACAAGTTGCAGTTTAGCTGTCAGATATTGTGGCCTTTCTCTGAATTATCAACACAAGTTGCAGTTTAGCTGTCAGATATTGTTGCCTGTCTCTGAATTATCAACACAAGTTGCAGTTTAGCTGTCGGATATTGTTATCTGTCTCTGAGTTATCAGCACAAGTTGCAGTTTAGCTGTCAGATATTGTTGCCTGTCTCTGAATGATCAACACAAGTTGCAGTTTAGCTGTCAGATATTATGGCCTGTCTCTGAATGATCAACACAAGTTGCAGTTTAGCTGTCAGATATTGTTGCCTGTCTCTGAATTATCAACACAAGTTGCAGTTTAGCTGTCAGATATTGTGGCCTTTCTCTGAATTATCAACACAAGTTGCAGTTTAGCTGTCAGATATTGTTGCCTGTCTCTGAATTATCAACACAAGTTGCAGTTTAGCTGTCGGATATTGTTGCCGGTCCCTGAATTATCAACACAAGTTGCAGTTTAGCTATCAGATATTCTTGTCTGTCTCAGAGTTATATAATTTGTATAACTGAGCTGTTTCCATGGTTTGTTTTTTCCTCTTCACAACTATATTAATGTATACATCTAAACCACGTAACATGCATCACTGGCTATATTCCATGTGTGCCAGTCGTGCGCAATTAAATGTTTTATATTTAGTCAAACCATGTTAAAAAAGTAACTATTTATGTGATGTATTCGGCTCATGTGACAATAAAAAAAAATTTTTTTTAACTGCCTTTGCCCGCATCCCCTTAGACTGAAACAGTTATTTATGATTTCTTTCTTAATGAATGTTTAAAATGTTAAATAAAACCAAATTTGCTAAAAATGTCTGGTCATGAATGCGAGGAAATACTTGCAACACCCATGCTCTGAGAGTCGAACCCCCATTGTGTGAGTACCAGCTATGTCCTGGTTCCTCACAGCAATGTGTATCACATGTGTGGTGGTTCCCAACACCACTGTGGTGTGAGTGACAACTGTCTTGGTTCCTCAGCAATGTGTGGTGGTCCCCCACACCAGTGTGTGGGTACCAGCTGTGTCCTGGTTCCTCAGAAATGTATGGTGGTCCCGCCCACACCAGTGTGTGGGTACCAGCTGTGTCCTGGTTCCTGAGAAATGTATGGTGGTCCCCCACACCAGTGTGTGGGTACCAGCTGTGTCCTGGTTCCTGAGAAATGTATGGTGGTCCCCCACACCAGTGTGTGGGTACCAGCTGTGTCCTGGTTCCTCAGCAATGTGGTGGTGGTCCCCCACACCAGTGTGTGGGTACCAGCTGTGTCCTGGTTCCTCAGAAATGTGTGGTGGTCCCGCCCACACCAGTGTGTGGGTACCAGCTGTGTCCTGGTTCCTCAGAAATGTATGGTGGTCCCCCACACCAGTGTGTGGGTACCCGCTGTGTCCTGGTTCCTCAGCAATGTGGTGGTGGTCCCCCACATGTGTGGGTGGTCCCCCACACCAGTGTGTGGGTACCCGCTGTGTCCTGGTTCCTCAGCAATGTGGTGGTGGTCCCCCACACCAGTGTGTGGGTACAGCTGTGTCCTGGTTCCTCAGCAATGTGTGGTGGTCCCCCACACCAGTGTGTGGGTACCAGCTGTGTCCTGGTCCCCCACACCAGTGTGTGGGTACCAGCTGTGTCCTGGTTCCTCAGCAATGTGTGGTGGTCCCCCACACCAGTGTGTGGGTACCAGCTGTGTCCTGGTTCCTCAGAAATGTATGGTGGTCCCCCCCACACCAGTGTGTGGCTACCAGCTGTGTCCTGGTTCCTCAGCAATGTGGTGGTGGTCCCCCACACCAGTGTGTGATACCAACTTTGTCCTGGATTCCCTACCCAACCACTGTATTTGTCTGGCAGCTGTAGACGTGACAGAGCTGGCCAGGAACAGAATAAAGATCCCACATGCTCAACTCTCTAGTGTTTTCGCTGCACAGACTCAGGATAATGTGTGTCAGCTGCTGACGGAGTGTGTGTGTGTGTGTGTGCAAATGGCTGCCATATTGGTTGGTTGATACGGCAGTCTACTTGTATATTGGGGGGGGGGGGGCTCACTTCAGACAAAATACAGCAGATCAACAGACACGAATCCTGCATGTACAACTGGCCACTCACACATTGTTCTGGAAAACAAAGAAACAAATGTGAAGATATAATGAGAGGTTACATTTAGAGCCGCTCAAGTGAGAACATTTTCTGGAATGAGATTGACTCATGCAGCAGACGTAGAGCAGTGGCTGAGACTTGCCTGCTGGCTCAAATCTGCACTGGGCTTTTTTGTGTATAAATGGCTGGGATTCCACCCTACAATGAGTACCTGGGAAGTCAAGGGGAGCGACATCATCCATCGAGTGCTGGTGGGCCTAGCACCACATGCTCAGTGGCACAGAAGGTCCTTGACTAACTTTATTTTACAGATACAAATACATGCAGTTTAAATATATTTAAGGTGAGTAGTGACCGTCAGTATTTCCCTCTACTAGTTATCATTGGCACTTCTTCAAAAGGTTTCTTTGAGAGATAGAGTTCTTGGAGCTGTTTACAACAAACTCTGATGTATCAAAGTGAACCCTGATGTATTAAAGTGAATCTTGATGTATCAAAGTGAACCATGGACAGTTGTAAAGTTACTGAGAAATTCTGTGCACGCTGCAGAGATGTTTCGTAGCAGACTGGTGAGAACACCAGACCTAACATATTTAAAGAATTAACCAAACTGGACTCTCATGAAAACAAACCATCTTTATTTTGACATGTCTGTCAGGAGGAGGAAACTGGAGTTCACTGGGACAACAAGAAAGCTGCTGTTTTGGCATGTCTGTCAGGAGGAGGAAAACTGGAGTTCACTGAGACAACAAGAAAGCTGCTGTTTTGGCATGTCTGTCAGGAGGAGAAAAACTGGAGTTCACTGGGACAACAAGAAAGCTGCTGTTTTGGCATGTCTGTCAGGTGGAGGAAACTGGAGTTCACTGGGACAACAAGAAAGCTGCTGTTTTGGCATGTCTGTCAGGTGGAGGAAACTGGAGTTCACTGGGACAACAAGAAAGCTGCTGTTTTGGCATGTCTGTCAGGAGGAGGAAACCGGAGTTCACTGGGACAAGAAAGCTGCTGTTTTGACATGTCTGTCAGGAGGAGGAAACGAGTTCACTGGGACAACAAGAAAGCTGGAGGGCGAAGGCAACAAAAGAAAAAATGTTAGTCTGGCAAAAGCAGAAAACTGTGGCAGAATGTAAAACCTGTCCAACAACTGGAAACATTTTCACACAGATATGGGGAATAGAAAAATGATCTTAGAGCTGCCTGCAACAGGAAATATTTAATGAATAACTGAGTTAATGTGGTTACTATCTTTGAGTGTCATCATCATCATCATGTGAGAATAACACTCCAGTTGGGGTCCATCAGCAAGTCTTTCTGGCTTCTTCAAATTCCTCTGCTCCAATGTCAAGTTTCCATGTCATGAAGGTTGAGCCCAGCCACGTCATGTTTCCACGTCATGAAAGTTGAGCCCAGCCACGTCATGTTTCTACGTCATGAAGGTTGAGCCCACCCACGTCAAGTTTCCACATCATAAAGGTTGAGCCCACATCTTCCAGCAACCGAACCTTCCACTGCAGCCTTGTTTAAACCACTGTAGTATTTAACATGGATCAGGTTTTTGTCTGGACTATCTGAGGGAAATAGATTTCCACTAACTAAATGAACATCACTGACTGAAACACTGCAACCAGAAAGCTACTTTATTCTCTGCCAATGATAATTGCACTACACTAAAAATATTCAAACATTTGAGGCTTAGCACACATGAGAAATACTTGCACACACACACACACAACAACTATCTTGTCATCAAGGGGCATGTTCAACCATGTCTTCCGCCAGGTTCCTGCTCCACAACAGTATCCTTCAATTCAACCACTTTTCTGATTGTTTATACACCACAGATACCTTAATGTGCAGGTACCCACATTATTGTTACAGGACTTGTTTTTACTTGACAAATATTATACTTATCTTTTATAATAGTAAAGTAAAAAAAAATTAAAGATCCCTTTTCATGCCTTTAGGCACATCGGGCATATGGGAAGAGCGCCTATATTTTTTCAGACTATCAGCACTAGGTGGGTAATGCGGTCAGCATTACGCTGGCTTTTATAATAGTAATGTTGAATAATTACACTTTAAATATAGTGAAAAACAAATGTTGCTCGGTGATTCGTTTAAAAAAAAAAACCAGTTGCCAGGTTTAAAGAGAAGCGCATAGTGGTTCGTGAACCTGCCTCTCAACTTGGTTGGGTGGGCTCAAGCTAGTCATAGTAAAGGCAGGTTTGTTGTCTACAATCAGTGTAGGCTTGCTTGCCTGACTAAATCCTGCTAGAATTTGGGGGAAACTAGGAAAGAAAGGGGATCAGAAAGGGAACTGGCTACACCCAAACCATCATGTCAGGACCCAAAATATGTGAAGGTTTAACACATCACAACCAACAGCAGCACAATGGCAGTTGGAGTGATACTACTGCTATCTCATCATGTAGATAATTCAGCTGCACTGTTCAACCAGTCATCTATCTATATTACAATTGCACTTGGCACAAGTTGGTTGAGGCCCTATGCCCCACAAGGAGACGGCAGAATAATCCAAGCATACTGCAAATCTTTCATTGCATTCTTCCCCTTGGGTGTCACTGCAAAACTTTCTATAAGTTAAAGTGGGGCTATAGAGTTAAGACGGGACTAAGTTATAGGTGTCCATCACAGACAAATGGGATATTAACTAGTACCCTCATGTCTTACCATAACTAACAGAGATCATTAAAAAAAAAGAGAGACTGAACAACTTTAACAGATGGTAGCAGAGTAGTAAGAATGAGCATTCACGAGCCAGGGATCCAATAGAAAAACAAATATACATTATAAAAATTACATTCACAATGTGAGAATAATGTGGAAAGTCAAAATCTTATTTACACATTCAAACTGACATGCTGCTAAATACTGGCTAAAATATTCGCCTGTCGATCGCTGGTTTTTGAGGCTGTACCCTCTTTCTTGTCTTCAGAAATGTTATCCGCTCGGAAAGTATTACTTAAACTTCCATATGTTGAGCTTTCCAATCGTTACCAATCTCACATCCATATGTTGAGCTTTCCAATCGTTACCAATCTCAAATCCATATGTTGAGCTTTCCAATCGTTACCAATCTCACATCCTTATGTTGAGCTTTCCGATCGTTACAGGATCCGAGGATCAGCAGGAAGCAGTCCACGGGTCCTGGACTCTGATGGCCACACAACTAGGTAAATTTTCTTCTGGCACATTAGACACCTTTTAATTAAGATACCTTTATCTTTGTTTCATCTGGAAACTCTACAATACAGTACGGTAGAGGCATGCATCCGGCATGGCTACCCCCTTCAGGTCCCACACTCTGGCCAATGGTGACGAGCATGGGAACCTTTCTGCCAACAAGTAGGCCTTTTTTCTATCAGACTTTAAAGACTGTTTTTGGGCCATATGACAGGTATGAAACAAGACATTTATGCCAAACCAGCACACTGAAAGTGGCAGATCATAGAGAGGTACCTCAATGCAGTGTCGAAGCATTGAGGAACAGCAAGGGATGTGTAGAGACAGTAATGTTCTGTGCGTTACTGTTGGCAAGAGATGCTGTTTGTCTAGGCTTGCGAGCAAATCTCTTGTTACAGGGTTGAATCTCAGCAGCAGTTCTTCCCACTTCGACATTTTAACGAAGATTGTCATTTAGTAAAAGTGTTTGGCCAGCTGATGTTACCCATGGGCTTTGATAGATTTGGGGTAGGCTGATGTGAGCCAGACAAGACACTACACTTCTAAAGGCCCTTAACTCCTAGATCCCCTGCCAACTCCGTTCAGGTCACAAAAGTGAGCCCTTACCCATGCTGCACGACCTGGACGTGCGGCAGGAGTCTTGCATGAGGATCTGTAAATCCACCCAATAGCCAACTGGTACCAGAGGTGAGGTACCGAATAACTCCTTATATACACCTGATTGCAGTGAAGTTGAAACCTCTGATACTACTACTATTTCAACTTTGGGATTCATCCAGATCCAGTGTGATGTGATCTGAAGCCCATCTTCTGACCTCATGTCACCTGATGGTCGATGTGGTCAGGAACATCTAAGAGGCTGTATCTTTCCTGTAATCTCTGTGGTTCACTGTAGCCAATCATAATCTGATATATTCCCAAAAATGAACAAGATAAAAAGTTGGCTCTTGGGTACATCCACTATAATTTAATTATGCCCATTAATTGTCAAAGCTCTCCTTAAATTAATAAACATATATTACCTTCTCTCTGTTGGTTATCAGGCCGGGCAGTACTGCATCCACTGTCCTTTCAACCAGAACACCGCCAATCATCCGGTAGCACTTGCGAGTAGGTTCAACACCTTTCAAAACTTCGATCACAAGACTAAAAATGAGAAGCCATAATCCATGCATTAATTATTGATTGCTGGGGGTACTGAAAATTAAGAAAAGATGGGTAATTATTTCAAATGATGGAATATTTATGAAACAAAAAAGGAGGAATTTAAAGTGGACACATGGCTCCTGAGATGGATGTTGCCAATACCTGGCATTGTGACAGTAATTTATGACGTCTGTTTTGAAGGGATACTGAAGGCTGAACATGATAAGACAACTCTAAGGAAATGACAGTTTTCTCTGGTCATGTGATGAGGGTCTTTAGAAAAACACTATTGACCAGAAAAATCAAACTTTTGGTGAAAAAGTGGAAAGTAAAATCTATAGATCACTGACACACAAAAAGTGGAGAGTAAACTCTATAGATCACTGACAACATGCAACAAGTGGAAAGAAAACTCTATAGATCACTGACATATGCAACAAGTGGAAAGAAAACTATAGATCACTGACACAGACAAAAAGTGGAAAGTAAACTCTATAGATCACTGACACACACAAAAAGTGGAAAGTAAACTCTATAGATCACTGACACACACACAAATCTAAAAACCTGAACTTAATATAAAAGATAAAGCTGCTGATATAAACAACCTATTTCAGGTGAAACGAACAAAAAAAGGAGCAGCAACAAAAGGGGCAGATACCAAATGAGAAAATGATGCCGGATGATCTAAGATGGTGTCAAAGAGGAATACAATTTAATGTATAGAACTGGCACCAATGAGCCACCCCCTTTTGGTCCCACTGAACACATGCGTCTACTGGTAACCAATTAGTGGCCTAATTAATGAGTGCATGGCACACCTGTGTTTCTATGTTAGCGCTGACAGTATAAAAACATGGTATACAATCTGAACGTTCTTTAAGGTTCTCTTGTGTAATCACGAACATGGAGTGCATTGGGTTTATTTATAAACGGGGTTAACAGCATAAAATTGAGAATGTCTGTGAACTTTACACAGAGTTGCTAAGTGTGTGTCTGAAAACAATCAATATGGCCACTGAGCAGTCTTCTTCGTGCATGTCAACTAGATTTACAACTTCAGAAGTCGTAAATTAGAAAGAAAAAAACACAATGTCTTTCCGGTTTATCTGAAGTTAGATCAAGAAAGTAGTGAAGTAGACTTGTTTCAGTTAACTTTCATTGCAAAAAATGCAAAGGTTTAGTCATTTCATCGCTACATTTTACTAGGACGTAGTCAGGAATCCATCTTTTGTCATATTCAACACAGGGCTGCCAATACTTGGGTTCCCCCAAGATCTGGGTTTGTATTTAGAGCCTTGGGTTCAGATTGTAGAATTTTTTTTTAAAAATACATCCTTATATAAAATTGGGCTATCTCCGAATAACGGGCATTAAAGATGGCGGCCATAAAATAATATTCTTTCGAGCCTCAGTTACATGTCAATTACGCACTTCGGCGACCTAATTTGCGGTTTTGCGGCGACTACCGCCACCACCACAAGTCCCCCATGCCGCTCATGCGGCGTGGAATCGGGCTAAACTAGATGACTAGGACCCACAAGCAGCAGCTTCTGCATCTCCTGCTGCTTTGCTCATGAGTCCTAGCCATGTAGTTTAGCCCCAATCCACGCCGCTCACGCAGCGTGGGGGACTCGGTGGCGGTAGTCGCTGGAAAACTGCAAATTAAGTCACGTGACTGATATTCGGAGGATAGCCTAAAATTGGGTAAATGTTTCATTTTGTAACTAACTGCACTTTTATCGGTCTTGTGTTTTGTTGTTATTTTCTGCTGATGTATTGCTTTGTTTTTGTGGTCAGCTTAGCTTGGTGGGTGTTGTTAAAAATCCCACTGGCAGACCTGATTCCACAATTATTTGTCTCTCTACTCTATGGTGGTTTCCGCAACTAAATGTTAATTTCTCCGCTTATAATTGACTTTCAGTTTCAGGCTTCCCTGAGATATTATTGAATTTGTAATTGTAAGCTCTATCCAACTGTAATGTAATGATTCCATATAAGTAAACACCTATTCCTAATACATAAAAGTTAATAAAACTTCACTCATCATTCATCCATGATGATGATGATGTGATTTCTAGTTCTACCGTTTGGTTCCGCATGAATGATCATTCTAACAAAAAAAACTTACTCGTGTTCTTTCATGTCCATCTCAATTTCTGAGATTTTGGATGCCAGTATTCTCTGCTGTTGCCTGAGCTCGTTGAAGGCAGCAACAACGTGCTCCGTGGACAACATCGCTGCGCCGGACTTGGCAGATGTAGCTCCTGCTGGCGTCGCCATGATGAACCTACACTCAAAAACTGGCGACACAGACAGAGTTCTGGCGAAACAAAACTTAATTTAATTGTAGCAGGAATGGGAGATTATTAAAAATTATTATTTTATATATAGTTTTATATTTGGAATATTAAATAAGTTTTCGTCAGTTATAACGTTTTGAGAATATACTTCATATTATATTAATTGTATTGTATAAATATGACTAGGTTGATTATTATTAACTGGCACTATACAAAGTGTCAGAAAAACTGTGCTAACACCATCATCGCCATAAGGGCTTCTTTTGCTTCTCCTGCACTATCGGCACTTTTTTAGGCATCATTTTGAAGAGATACCGTAAACACGACTATGGTAGAACTGGCAGTTTTGTTCCTTAGAAAAAAAAGCCCGAATCTTCATCCGTACCCACACACACGGCTGTCGGGTGCACGTGTTTTAATCCTGCATCATCATCATCAGGCGGTGTCGTTATGACAGGCCTCTCATCAGTTCCAGGCGCACCGCCACTAAGAAAACATTCAAACGAGGCGGTAGACAGCTGCCCCTCCCCCTTACAAATTTCTAGGCAAATAATTGGAAATTAGGGGTGGAAAGGGGGGGGGGCACCTCCTTTATTCCCCCCACCCCTAAAAACTAATACGTGAGAGGGGGGGGGGTGTGGTAGTTCAGCACGACTGGCTTCAGCTGTCGGTCGTGGCCCGAATGCCTTCCCTCTGCCCAGTCATTTTTGAGTTAAGAACAAATCTTCTACAGTTCAGTCAATGTTCATACATTTCATTTTTTTTTTTTTTTTTGCGAATATAATACTAACGATGTCCTGCTATAAGGTGTAGAAACCTGGATAATGAACAAGCAGCTACAAAATCGAATTGAGTATCTGAAGATGTCGGTATACAGATGTGGGTATACAGATGTGGGTATACAGATGTGGGTATACAGATGTCGGTATACAGATGTGGGTATACAGATGTGGGTATACAGATGTGGGTTTATCGATGTGGGTATACAGATGTGGGTATACAGATGTGGGTATACAGATGTAGGTATACAGATGTGGGTATACAGATGTGGGTATACAGATGTCGGTATACAGATGTGGGTATACAGATGTGGGTATACAGATGTCGGTATACAGATGTGGGTATACAGATGTGGGTATACAGATATCGGTATACAGATGTCGGTATACAGATGTCGGTATACAGATGTGGGTATACAGATGTTGGTATACAGATGTGGGTATACAGATGTGGGTATACAGATGTCGGTATACAGATGTGGGTATACAGATGTGGGTATACAGAAGTGGGTATACAGATGTGGGTATACAGATGTGGGTATACAGGTGTGGGTATACAGATATGGGTATACAGAAGGGTATTGAATATTTAATGGAAACAAAAACACACTTTAATACACAAGTTCCGGATAGACTTCAAATTACAAGAGAATTACCAAGAGAGCAAGAGAGAGAGAGAGAGAGAGAGAGAGAGAGAGAGAGAGAGAGAGAGAGAGAGAAGAGAGAGAGAGAGTTCTTTGGCCTTATTCTTCTTCTCCTTCTTTGCATTCGCCGGCTGTAAACTCCGGTGAAAAGTTCTGGTTGTTCGTCCACTTCTGGACTGCAGTCCGGTTCCAGAACCCGAGTGTTGCGTGTGCATCCGTTTGACAGTTCTGACACATTTGTGTGCACACTGTGCACTCCGACATCGAAGGAAGCTCCCAATTAGTCTAATCTTACGACATGCTTTTGGGTTGGCAGTGGGTCTATTCTTGTTTTCTCTATAATAGGGCCCCGGAACACATGCGGGGATTTGGCCTTATTAAAAGACATAGCACAGTACTTTTCTGTTAAGCGATCACATCATGCGAGACTGAGGGAAATTCTATAGTGTGGCACGACGACAACAGCCTTTATAAATTCAGCTTGATTACCATGTAAGTAAGCAACGTACATGTTGACATGTTCCATTGATTATTGCTATCGGTGATTTAATTTCCTACTTGGAACATATATGTTCATTATACCGTTTCCTTGGGACTAGTCACGCTTTGCTCACATGTCAGTGAGTTTTTTTTTGTTTTTGGTGTATGTTAATGAGTTAAACTGAGTCAAGAATTGACATCACAGCACTAGAGGCATTCCCATGCATGCCCCGTCTTCATCCTCAGCAGCCAGCGCAGAATTCGAGTACCGATGGTACAGGTCACAATATGGTTATATGTCCGTCTTGCCTTTCCTCTGAGTGTAGTGAGCCGGCTAGACCCTCTGGTTACACCCTGGTGCCCCATTCTCTCCAGGCCATAATAATCTTCTTCCTCTACTGATTCCGTGGCTTGTTCCCAAGGGATCTTAAACATCCACCTTGTCACGTATCAATTCACCACCAAATGGTGGAGATCCAGCTAATGTGTCTGCTTTTTCATTACCCACAACGCCGGCATGGCCTTGAAAAAAGAGCTATAGTATGCTCACCGTGACCTTTCCAGTGAAGTTTGCCACTCTGCTCAAAGCATCCGTGTCTTCACCTTTCTCAGCATGCTTTCAGAGTCTGTTACAATTACGACATGTGTATGCATCTTGTTCTCTAGCCTCCGGAGAGCAGCAGTGTATGTTAATGAACGATGCTGCAAGTAACTAGTAACTTCGTCATGTCAGGAGAATGTTTTTGTTTCCGGTGGCTACAGCTAGTAACTTGACGGAAGGTAGGACAGGAGTTGAAAAGTGGGATTGTTAGACAATAATCGTTATTGAATGTGTGGTTACGGGACGCCAACAAACGTGGTAGGGCGATATGTGATAGGACGCTAAAAGCCTTTGTAAATACGGTTTGATTAGGATGCAAGTGAACAAAAACCTAGCAAGCCAGGAGACGTGAAGTTATAAAAAGTCAACGCACCTTGAAAATGATGAATTAGGCTTTCTGGCTGCCCGGGAACAGAATTACCCACCCAGCGGTGATGGCACACACATGGACATAGCAGCGTGGGTTTGGGCGATCGAGCGACGGCAGATTGATTGACTTCATGGCGGTAGTATGTCTATGGTTAGATATAAATTTCCATCATAGTTAAATCTGAATTTTCTCCAGTAGTTAAACTGTGTAGAGTTTTATATCAGTGTGTATCATCGCTCAGAGATATTTGATTTCAGGTGGCTGGGTGTGAATTTTTGCTTTTCAGAGTTGAAGTGCTTAGCACTTAGAGTGTGGGGACATGATATTAATGTAATCTGTAAAGCACTTAGTTTTGTGTTCAAGAAAAAAAAAACATGTTCAATGTGATGATAATAATTAATTTGATTTAAGTTAGGATTTGTAGTCCGTGCTAGGTGTGTGTAGTCATATTTTGTTGTAGTAATGTAATTCACATATTCATCGCCAGGGCTATGATGAAATATTCCATAGCCGCTGCATATCAGCACCAAAATGGGACCTGATAGGCTCCCCTAGCTCTACAGGACATATCGTGATGACTGCACCGGTGTCTCTGATATGGCTATGCCCCTTTCTGAATTGTAGGAATTCATTAATTTTTTTCTCCATCATCAGTATTTCACCATCATCAGTGCATTTTCTGGATTTCACTGTCACCTTGGATTCTTAAGGCCTCTGCACCTCAGTAAACTTTAAACATACTGATTCCCAAAAAAGTTGTCACGAATAGGATGAACAGCAATCTGCCCCCTAAAGACATCATTTAACTGACTGAGCCATTTTGTGGATGGAAAATAATGATTAATTCTTCTCTGAATAGTTTACAAAATGCTTCATTGTACGTGTGTATTTTTATATTGGTTGTGTGAGTGCTGATGAGTGAATTAATAGTAAATTGTATTTTGGGTTATTTATGCTATCGTGTGTGTGTGTGTGTGTGAGGTTTGGGCACCTTTCTTCCCAGTAAGACTTGAAGTGTTCTGTACGGTCACTATTTCATATCTTATTCTGAATAACTTTCGAGCAACACTTCACTTGATTCCACTAAACTGTGCATTAGATGAATCATTTGACCTGAGTTTTCAATCTCTTAGTTTGGTATTGATCTGAGGACCGGGTTTTATCTGCAGTCTTTGAAGAACACTTAGCTGTGGTTCATTTTGATGTCAGATGGAGCAAGTTATGGTGTTTGGTTTCATCAAACTTGTGGCTCAGTACATTTCATTACATGGATTTAAAAGTTTTTTTCTCTGTCTTTTCCCTGCTGTGCATTCTCTACCTGCAAGGAAGCAGGTTTATGTCACAACTTGTCTGGTTCCTATTCCTTGGCTTGGTCAACATGGAAGACTGTCAGTATCTTAGCTGTTGGGCACTAGTAAACCATAACACATTTCTTTATTGCAAGATGGATATACAACAGCAGTGTTTCTCAATTCTTGAATGTCTTTAACATGAATCAGTACTGTTCTCTCACTTGTTTTCCTCTCTACATCAATCTAGACAATTCTCAGTCTCTCTTAACTGCAACAGCATGTTGTGTGTTTCAGCAACTTGTGGTTTGCAACATTTTAAAACAAAACAGTTCAACAGTAATGTATAGTTTAATGATTAACTTTAATTTCAAAACATGCATGTACTACACTTCTTTTAAAACTGAATGCTTGAATGTGATTTGGGGATTTCAAAGAGCAACAGATGCCACATAAAATAATTGCCAAGATAAAGATATGCATAGAAGACAAAATATAAATACATTCAGAGTCTGGTAAGAAAAGAAGTGGAACCAAATAAATAAATAAATCTACATGCAATATCAACAGATATCATACAAGATAAAACATATAATGACAGCAGCTGTAAATATTTGAGTTTAACAGTCAGTAAAGATCACATGAAAATCAATATTGAAAAAAAAAAAAAATAACCACATGTGAGAGGAGATGTTTCAGATGAGAATGGCTGTGAATAAAACCAGAAGAGGTCGAGTGAGAAATGACGTAATCACAATGAGAATGAAACCAACAATGCCAGCAGAAAGAGCATACAACCTGAAAACTGAAACACAATGGTGCAGGGGAAGACCAAGAAGAGTGTGGATTGAAGCAGTCACTGAAACATTGAAGCTGCATAGCATCACGGCATATCAAGGAAATGAGCGCATCCTGGCTGAGCTGCCAATCATCTGATGAACTGCGACACTCAGATATTGACAAAAGAAAGAAGTCAGTGATTCGATATTTGTTAAACACAAAGGATACCCTAATGTTGTAACATAAGCATATGAATAGCAAAATTCAGCACAATATGAGGACAGTTTTCATACAACAGTTTTGATTTAACCATGAAGCCAAATAGTCAGGGTTTGATTTACTCTCATGAAGCCAAATAGTCAGGGTTTGATTTACTCATGAAGCCCCATAGTCAGGGTTTGATTTACTCATAAAGCCCCATAGTCAGGGTTTGATTTACCCATGAAGCCCCATAGTCAGGGCTAACTAGTAGAAAAGCAACTGTCTTACCTTACAGCAAGGACAACATGGGTTTACATCCAAGTTGAAGCCTGCCAAACTGTCAAGTGATGTTTGCTTATGTCATTTATGAAAGCCATGTCTGTGCTACTGCCGTGTATTTCCACGAGCACACAGAGCTGCTACATGTTCCACAGACTGGCCAATGTCAGTTGAACCAATGACAAGGGAGCCCACTCCACCCCTTGAGACAATATGTTACAAATGTTCATGATCTAACAGATGTGGGTAGGCTCCCTTTGTTTCCTGGCTAACAGTATTTTTAGGCCCGGTCCGCTGCCCCATTTAGAAAAAAAAGAAGGGATGGAGAAAATAAATCAGTGCCCGTAAATAACAAGTTATGTTTTTGTTAACTTGATTATTTTTTTTAGGTGCTGATATTGCAGCTTAGCTGTAAACCACAACACAGTATGCCTTTTAATAGCAAATAGATGTGAAAAGGTCAAACCCACCATTGCCTGCAGAGAGCATACAATCAGGAAAACAGGCAACTGAAACCACAGAATATATAAACTGCATTTGTTAATTAAATTACTTAGCCTATAATTAACGTTACTTGTCTTAATCATAGGAATTAGCCTGACACAGCAGGCCACAACTAAACAAAATCAAATCAAAATCTGTGGCTAATTTTTATCTACTGATTCTGATGTTTGTGTACATGAGTTGGTATTTCTTGTTTCTCCTCAAGATCTCAACGTTCTATGTTTCTTTTATAAAAACCAGCCTTGATAATGAGAGCACAACATTTGCAGCTAATATTTACATCATGCCAGCTAAAATATATATTTCAGCTCTTCTTTAGCAACAGATGTTTATATCACTCTAGTCTATTTCTTGAGGCCTTAGAAATGTGGTTTTACAGAAGAATCCTTAGAATTCTTTGGACAGCTAAAAATAGCAACCCAGATGTTTTAAAACAGGCAAGGGTTTGCAAGACAACTTACGACAAATATCAGAAAGAGACAGACATAATTGTTTTGGTAATATTATGAGAGGAAGGAAACTGAAACTGTTGCGACCACTGGAAAGATCCATGGCAAGAAAGGAGAGGCAGGACATACTGTTGAAGATCGCAAATTGTGGAGAGGCATGATTGCCCAAGTCAGTCGGCAAGGCACCTGATGGTGATGATGATGCCTTAACTAGTTTGAGGTACTGTAGGGGAAATTACACTCTAATCCTCTTGATGACATTTTGAAACAATACAGAAGCTTCAAATCTTTTTTTTTTCTAAGGCTATTATATACATATGTTATTTTCCTGCTTGTTTACTGCAGAAGTGGCCACCACACCAAACATTTTTCCTGGATTTTTTTGCATAGTAAAACCATTTCAGTATGGCTTTTAAGAGGAAATTTACCATAGACAAACACACAATTCTAATTTATTCAGTATCAATTACATGGTAAAAACAGCAATTGGCGATGTTTTCATGTTTCATTTGGCTGCACTCTCAATAAAATTGGCAAGTGTGACATCATCGTGTGACAGCCCCCCAACATCATGTGTGCTCAGAGTTATCTGAACCTGAAAACAGAAATATCAGACCACTGTTGTCTTCACTCATGGAATCAATTTGGGAACAAGGTCATATCATTAAAAAACGAATCACTGATTGCCTCCATAGTACAGATATCGATAAAATCTAATATTTATTTACCATAGTTCAAACCCTGAAGAAAAGTACCAGGATCAAATCTATATTTTTAAGGGGGATATACTAAGTTAGTGAAACTACTCCAGTTAGGGGAAGCAGTGACTGTTGCAGTAAGAACTTTCCTTAAACTGCAATACCAGAAGCTTGTTGATCAGTAAGGGCAGAAGCCATATGACGTGACAATTGTCACTGTGCTGCTCTAGCTTTCCTGGACATACCAGTAAAGATTCCATATGCCAGTAAAGACACCAGACTTGTAAGATGAGCAAGCCTTAACAATTACACTCTACACAAGAGCTATTAACTAAGTTTACTCGCGGGTCAAAATGTTTAAAATGGTGATCGTGGCAGGCCATTGGCCAAAGCCCAACTGTGGAAATATTATTAACACACAATACAACTGACACAATTTTCAATGCGTAACTTTAAAGCTCTAAAAGTGTTACTCCTAACCCTAGGGTCTAATATACGGTAATATAAACAAAACAGTGATATAAACCATTTTAATGTAAAATGTACTACACTCTTTTGAATTGGTTAATATTCAATTTTAAGTAAAATTAACGTTTTTCCAACTTGCCATTGGAATTATAAATATATGTTAGCATTGTCACTTCAGTTGTAATTATCATATTAACAATAACTGTTCACAGTTAGTTTAATATGGCTTTGTGCAGGAGAAACCGAAAGATATAATGATGCAAAATGTAATTATGCATTTCTGTTTTTGAGCTAATTTTATAAAAATTTGGCTGGTTTGGTGTCAGAGCAATTCTCATACAATCCTAGCAGTAAAACCTCTTGGATACGATTTTCCAAAATGAGCATGTTTTGCTGTAAAATGCAGCCTCACGTTGTACTCCTTTACTGTCGACACACATTAAATCAACTAGGCTGCCAGTTGAATAGCCCTGCTCTTCACCTTCAGAATAATTTTACACTGGGTGTCTGGTTACCCTGATTAGTGATAAGTCCCATCACAGTGCTTGGACAGATCCATAGGTGCTTCAATCTTCTCATTAGTAGCTGCACAAGCATAAAATGACTGTTGATGCTTGTTCTGTGTTGATTAATCAAATGTCTTGTGCCCCTGTGAACTGTTTATTTCTTGCAGCTTCAGGCTGCAACCCTATGTCTGTCAGTGAGGACAGGGATATGGAATTATGTCAACTGCCGTATTCATCTTCGTGATAAGTGCTTCACATGGCATTTATGATTTCATTTTTGTCCAGTACCAGGCCAGCCATAGCAACTGCAGTGTCTGCAAGATAAACTGCACGTTCATTGCCTTGAACACCTACAAGACCTGGGACAAAGATACAGGTTAGGTCAGCCATTCACAAAGCACTTAGTAATCCAAGAAGTACTCAAATATAGTGTCCTGATGGCCCTAGCAAGACTGACATGTAGGGTCCACTGTATGTGAAAACACTGGTGCAGGTTATTAGCTTTCACAATGGAGAATGTGTGACCGAGCTGATATTCTCTTCTAGTGCTCCACTGGCATGTAATAATGATGTCCATATAAAGAGGAAACAGCGTAATAGACATGGACTGCACCAGAAAATTGATAGAAGGGGCAGAAGATTATCAGTGAAATTGGATTGGATAGCCCAAAAGCATGTTCACATTATTCACTGACCAATGTTAGCTCATGGTCCAGAACTGGACGAACAACCAGAACTTTCCGCCAGTGTTTACAGTTGGTGAACGCGATGAAAAAGAAGACAATTAGGTGTGCGCTGATTGATTTTTTTGAAGAAAAAGTTATTGCAGCTGAAAAAAAAACCCCCCAGATCAGGCTGTTTTGTATGACAAAAGATAAAGGCATGTTGGTGATTACCTGTTATGAAACTAAGAGAGTTCACTTGATATCTACTGTTAACTCCAATGATATAACGGACAAAATAGTTAGGAAAAGTGGAGCTCTTGAGGGCAGAATAATAAATGAGCCTGTTCTTGCAGAAAAATACAACAGTATGGGGGGGGGGGGGGTGTCGATCACTTCGGCCAGTTGGGTGCAAACTACCCCTACCCACCTAGATCCTATAAATGTTACTTGTTATTATATTACTTATTTATGTTTAGTTGACACTGCTCTGGTCAATGTGCATATAAGCTACAACACTGCCAACTCTGTGTATAACGTCAAGGCAAAGAGGTTCAGGTAGGATGTCAATCTTGCTGTTAGTAGATCTGCTGTTCTTCGGCACAAAGTAACACCTTCAAGACCACACGTCACAGCATCATGACTTACTGGGTGCAATTTTTTTTTAAAATAAATATGAAAGCTAAGGTACAAACAAGACTGCAAAGTATGTAAGGCTATAGGTAAAAGAAGCTAGACTTGCATGTACTGCCCAGATTCCAATACAGCTCTATGCTTGATACTCTTTTTCAAGCTATACTACACAGTTGAGGATTATCTACATTTCTGACAAAGACAGAGGGCTACAGCTACAACTCTAGTTAATAAATAAAATAACCCAGACTTCAGATAGAAGTGTTTTCCTAATCAAGCATTCACAAATGCTCATTGTAACATAACAAATAAACACAAGAAACAAAAAAAGTTTTTTTCCCCACTGTATTCACATTTTTATTAGCTTTTAATGTTGAAATACTTGGTCAGTCATTAAATAAATACTTCTATTTAGCTAACGTTATTCATCGCCAACCACGACTCCCACATTCTATTGCACTGACATTGAACTAATTCACTAAGAACTGAAAAAAGATGATGGATTTATCACACCTGAAATTTTTTTAAACAGCCAAACAAATTCAAGATGGCCACCATGATCATGTGACATTTACATAATATTTCTTTTTTCATGTGTAGCAACCATGTGTTATGGTGCTGTGATGGTTTCAAAACCCTATGCTTGTTTTTTATTTTTAAAATAAATTTTATTAGAAAACCAGTCATTTATGAAAAATCCATAAACACCCTTGACAATGGCACACAGTAATGCCACAGATTGCTGGTCTGGAAAGTGTTAAAGGAGTTGAAAGGATGTTTCAGGTGTGTTCCAGTCTTCAGGTTAGATAATAAAGTCACAATTTATTTCAATAATTTGCTACAGAAAAGAACAACAGAAGAGCTAGCTGCTAACATTTCAGCCGGAAACTCTCACAGACAAGGTACTCATGTAGAGTAATAACTCTTTGAGTCCCAGGGGGTTTAGTATCAGAGGCCCAAGGGGTAGTCAAAAGTGATGTAAAGTCAGCGCATCTTGCGTTCATTGGACCTCTAGGCGGGAACCTATGAACGTGTGATACGTTCCTTGGGACTCAAAGAGATAAGCAACATGAATGCCTGCCCTCACCTTATTGTACACATTGAACCACTCCGGGTGGTGATCCATCTTGTCTGCTTTCAGAGCCACACGTGTCATGAAACCAAATGCCTGAAAAGTAGCCACAATTACCATTTGGTTGTAATATGCATCTGAGGATAAGCTCCTGGTTAATAATAATTAAAAAAAAATTAACTTCACAGAACTCATAGATTCCCTAAAGTCTCTGTAAATGCCACATACTGCAGATGCTGGTTGTTCCATCCATTCTTACACGTTTCTTTATCACAACCATACATATATTCAAGGTACCGTATTCTTCAACCAGTTGCTTCGAGTGGTTTGTTATCAAATTGCCAACTTCAAATTGTTCATCTTTGTTAGAAAAAGAGCTACACACCCTGAGATCAGGGAAAAGAACACAGTTCTTTACCTTTTGTGTGTGTGTGGACACAAAACTTATAGAGAAGTTTAGTGATCTCTCTGGCAAACTTTGTGTGTGTGGACAGAAACAATCTGATAGAGAAATTTGGTGATCTCTCTGGCAAACTTTCTGTGTGTGTGTGTGGACAGAAACAATCTGATAGAGAAATTTGGTGATCTCTCTGGCAAACTTTCTGTGTGTGTGTGGACAGAAAACTGCTGATAGAGAAATGTGTGATCTCTCTGGCAAACTTTGTGTGTGTGTGTGTGTGTGGACAGAAAACTGCTGATAGAGGAATTTATGATCTCTCTGGCAAACCTCTACAGCCCAGGGTGGAAGAGGAGCGACCAAGTCAGTACAAGTAAATGAATGGACAGCTGAGAGTTGAGTACAGAACCTGTACTTTAGCAGGCACATGAATCTTGCACAGTAATCATAGAGAAACATCTAGAAGCACTGGAAATGTGGTTTCTGAGCCAAGTGTAAAGAATGCCATGGAAGGATAGATAAACGATTGAGACAGTCACACTGTGTAATGTAGGCAAGAACACACACCTAGCATAGCATACGATGTTGAAGATGATGATTTTATTCTGACTAAAATATTATTACATTATAAATTTGCTGTGTTTTGATTCAGTAATAATTATTTGCACATGACAAAACAAACAAAATAACACAGAATAACTGATCCGCCTAAATAACAGTGTTTATTTTTATCAAACAGCTTAAACAGTTAATATATATACTTCATAGAAATATTTTGTTTTAACTCAGTACATTTTAAAATCAATTATAAAGACAAAGACTAGTATACAACCAAATACAAATGCAAGACACGCAAGAGTGAGAATCAAAATGGTTGTAAATCAAATAAAATGTACATAGAAATGACAGAAATCCAGCATCAATCATCTTGTGCTTGCTTGTGTAGTGATAAACCGTTGAACAATGAGCATACAAAAGTATTTTTCTGTTGCACTCAAACTCTTTCTAATTGTCTGCAGATACGCCATGATTCACTGCCATACAACAGAAGAGGTTTTACAAAACATTTCACTATTCTCTCATTTTTGATAACTGAGTAAAGTTGTTGGCACTCTTCCGAATACCGGCCCCATATTATTTACTGTCCAAAACATTCCTTTTAGAGCCTCAAGGGGTTCAATGGATTTTTTGTCTTTGAATAATATGGGGCCGGTATTCGGAAGAGTGCCGCACCATTCATGTTTCGTTATGCATACGTAATTTTTGTTGGTTATGATGATCCTATTTGTGTTGTAAAAGAGTTAACAGATTACATGGCGCAGTGACAGAGTTAACAGGTTGAGTTCATGACACATGAACAAAGAACACAGGTTATGTACACAGTGAATAAAGCACACTTCTTACCTTGACATCAAGAAATAACACTATTCCACACAAGAGAAATAAACACAACACAGACAAATAAATTTCCATTTGTTGATTCGAATGAAGATCATCATCCGTCTGCTGCAGTAATGTGAAGCAACTGACACCCAGTGTTGACACTTTGGATGTTTTACATCCAGATTTAGATGTTTCCCCTTGCATTTAGGGTAAGTCATATCAATTGCTATGTAATTTGTGACTCTTTCCATTTGGATTTTTAAAGATGTTTTCCACGCAAATTTAGATGATTTTAATATTTTTTGACTCTGTTTTGGATGTTTTTTGTCAAAGAAAAGTGGCAACACTGTGTGTGTTAGAGGTGTGAAAAGTTACAATTCTATCGGCATTGACCCTAGGTCATGAAAACAGACACCGAGAAAGTGTGGAGGAAAGACAAACAAGGTTTACAGCACAGGTTGTTTTTGGTAATGGCGAGAGATAATCCAGACAGACATTGGTAGTGATGCTGATAGAGAAATGTGTGATCTCTCTGGCAAACTTTCTGTGTGTGTGTGTGTGGCCAGTAAACTGCTGATAGAGAAATTTGGTGATCTCTCTGGTAAACTTTCTATGTGTGTGTGGACAGAAAACTGCTGATAAAGAAATGTGTGATCCCTCTGGCAAACTTTCTGTGTGTGTGTTGACAGAAAACTGCTGATAGAGAAATTTGTGATCTCTCTGGCAAACCTCTACAGCCCAGGGTGGAAGAGGAGCGACCAAGTCAGTACAAGTAAAGGAATGGACAGCTGAGACCAGAAAGATGTATTTGATTCTGGTTCTGATATGACAAACTCAGTGGCCCATTTTTAATTAAATTAAAGACAGATTAATAAATGTGGCTCTATAGGGACCTTCAGCATGATGCTGACCACATTACCCACCAAGTGCAGATTGGTCCATAAAAATATAGGTCTAGTCTTATATTTTCAATTCGTGGAAAGGAGACCTTTTATAGGGACCAAAAAATTGACACCCCCTTCCCCTAAATACCTGATTAAAATCTGTGAAAATGAATTCTTTGTAAATAGCATCTCTGCCCTCAACCAAAGTCCAGCCTGCTTCCTTTAGAGGGGTCAGTTTGCAAGTTCTCTCCTCTTTGGTGAGCTGAGCTCTCTTGGTACTTGAAGCCTGAAAATGCAATCAGAAATCATTTCAGTGCTGGGGAGATGAGTTAGGGCAACTAGCTCAATCAAATATCTGAAAACACTAATGACATGGCATTCAAAAGTTAACAAGCCCCACACAAAATCTTTGTTTGTCCTGTCTCACTTTAGACAAGGGCTTGATGAGTTTAACCATAGCCAAACTGGTGAAACTACCAATGTAGATCTCTAGAACAGTTCACACAAACTGCTGTGAGATAGTGAAACTACCATTGCACATCTCTAGAACATCATGGACAAACTGCTGCAAGATAGTGAAACTACCATTGTGCATCTCTAGAACATCATGGACAAACTGCTGCAAGATAGTGAAACTACCATTGCACATCTCTAGAACATCATGGACAAACTGCTGCAAGATGGTGAAATTACCATTGCACATCTCTAGAACATCATGGACAAACTGCTGCAAGATGGTGAAATTACCATTGTACATCTCTAGAACATCATAGACAAACTGCTGCAAGATGGTGAAATTACCATTGCACATCTCTAGAACATCATAGACAAACTGCTGCAAGATGGTGAAATTACCATTGCACATCTCTAGAACATCATGGACAAACTGCTGCAAGAAGGTGAAACTACCATTGGACATCTCTAGAACATCATAGACAAACTGCTCCAAGATGGTGAAATTACCATTGCACATCTCTAGAACATCATAGACAAACTGCTGCAAGATGGTGAAATTACCATTGTACATCTCTAGAACATCATAGACAAACTGCTGCAAGATGGTGAAATTACCATGGCACATCTCTAGAACATCATAGACAAACTGCTCCAAGATGGTGAAATTACCATTGCACATCTCTAGAACATCATGGACAAACTGCTGCAAGATAGTGAAACTACCATTGTACATCTCTAGAACATCATGGACAAACTGCTGCAAGATGGTGAAACTACCATTGTACATCTCTAGAACATCATAGACAAACTGCTGCAAGATGGTGAAACTACCATTCGCATCTCTAGAACATCATACACAAACTGCTGCAAGATAGTGAAACTACCATTGCACATCTCTAGAACATCATAGACAAACTGCTGCAAGATGGTGAAACTACCATTGCACATCCCTAGAACATCATAGACAAACTGCTGCAAGATGGTGAAACTACCATTGTACATCTCTAGAACATCATACACAAACTGCTGCAAGATGGTGAAACTACCATTGCACATCTCTAGAACATCATAGACAAACTGCTGCAAGATGGTGAAATTACCATTGCACATCTCTAGAACATCATGGACAAACTGCTGCAAGAAGGTGAAACTACCATTGTACATCTCTAGAACATCATACACAAACTGCTGCAAGATGGTGAAACTACCATTGCACATCTCTAGAACATCATAGACAAACTGCTGCAAGATAGTGAAACTACCATTGCACATCTCTAGAACATCATGGACAAACTGCTGCAAGATAGTGAAACTACCATTGTACATCTCTAGAACATCATAGACAAACTGCTGCAAGATAGTGAAACTACTATTGCACATCTCTAGAACATCATGGACAAACTGCTGCAAGATAGTGAAACTACCATTGTACATCTCTAGAACATCATAGACAAACTGCTACAAGATAGTGAAACTACCATTGTACATCTCTAGAACATCATGGACAAACTGCTGCAAGATAGTGAAACTACCATTGTACATCTCTAGAACATCATACACAAACTGCTGCAAGATGGTGAAACTACCATTGCACATCTTTAGAACATCATGGAGAAACTGCTGCAAGATAGTGAAACTACCATTGTACATCTCTAGAACATCATGGACAAACTGCTGCAAGATGGTGAAACTACCATTGTACATCTCTAGAACATCATAGACAAACTGCTGCAAGATGGTGAAACTACCATTCGCATCTCTAGAACATCATAGACAAACTGCTGCAAGATAGTGAAACTACCATTGCACATCTCTAGAACATCATGGACAAACTGCTGCAAGATGGTGAAACTACCATTGCACATCTCTAGAACATCATAGACAAACTGCTGCAAGATGGTGAAACTACCATTGTACATCTCTAGAACATCATACACAAACTGCTGCAAGATGGTGAAACTACCATTGCACATCTCTAGAACATCATACACAAACTGCTGCAAGATGGTGAAACTACCATTGCACATCTCTAGAACATCATAGACAAACTGCTGCAAGATGGTGAAACTACCATTGTACATCTCTAGAACATCATACACAAACTGCTGCAAGATGGTGAAACTACCATTGCACATCTCTAGAACATTATACACAAACTGCTGCAAGATGATGAAACTACCATTGCACATCTTTAGAATATCATGGACAAACTGCTGCAAGATAGTGAAACTACCATTGCGCATCTCTAGAACATCATGGACAAACTGCTGCAAGATGGTGAAACTACCATTGCACATCTCTAGAACATCATGGACAAACTGCTGCAAGATAGTGAAACTACCATTGTACATCTCTAGAACATCATAGACAAACTGCTGCAAGATAGTGAAACTACCATTGCACATCTCTAGAACATCATGGACAAACTGCTGCAAGATGGTGAAACTACCATTGTACATCTCTTGAACATTATGTTTTTCCTCTTCTGCATTTATCCATAAAAGGCAAATTAGAGAAATATTATCTAGACACAGACAATCCATATTTTTACATTTAGTTATTTATATTGTATCGACATCATAAGAAATAATACTATTATGTTCGTGTCTTGAGGAAAATGATATGAATGGATACAGTGACTATTTTTGTAATATTCGTGACCTGAAGTAAATAACTGGTTTAGTGTCAGAGTCAGCAAGCAATGGCGATTTGTCCATAGGATTCTTACTTTCGTATACGATAGCTGTGTAGTTGCAATTTAATAGTGTGTAATTTATTAATAAAATACTGCACTGAGCAACTGCAATGTTTATTTTATCTATCATTATTTCACACCACTTATGCTGCATTTCGATTAACGTGTATTTACAAATGACAAGAGTTCATACCATGACTGGCGCTGACTACTAGATACGCACAGGTTACACAGCAGAAGGGATCGATGGCAAGCAGGACTGACCGCCAGCGCGACACGTGGACACAACAGCGGCCCAGTTCAGGTAGCGAACAAATCAAAGCCAGGCAGTGACCTCATTATGAAACCTACCTACCCCCTCCCCTCCCCCGCGCTTTTTCTCTCTTTCTCTGCCCGTGAGTGTGTGTATGACACGCAAGGATGAACAAAGTGCTACATTAAATGTGTGCTGTATGCATGTAAGGTTTCGGCCGTCAATACGCAAGCCGAAAGAATGGACCCGTGTCGCAGCAGTTGCCTAGTGTTTCGCAGAAGTTTCCTTGTGTGTCGCAGCATTTGCCCTGTGTGACGCAGCAGTTTCCCAGCGTGTCGCAGCAGTTGCCCTGTGTGTCACAGCATTTGTCCTGTGTGACGCAGCAGTTACCCTATGTGACGCAGCAGTTGCCTTGCGTATCACAGCAGTTTCCTAGCGTGTCGTATCAGTTGCCGTGTGTGTCACAGCATTTGCCCTATGTGTCGCAGCACTCCCAACAATTGACCCCTGTATCCCAAAATTATAAGGGAGTCAAATGACTTGACCCCCCCCTCCCCCAGTTCTTGACCCCCATTCTCCAAGAAACCCATGTCTTGGAACTGTTACCAAAGTCGACTGATGGTACTCTGATGCACGTTTAGATGCCTGGCAACCTGACTTTGACTTTCTCCTGCCTGCAATCGGCCAACAGTAATATTTCCTAAATTTATCGATAGAGGCGCCATTCCTGCCTGCTAGAAAATGAACTGATAGTTTTGGTGTAATGTTATCCTTTTATACGGTTTCAATTAGGTAGGCAGTGAATAGTATTCACAAAAATGTGTGTTGCTTTCTCCTGCGCGCATCATGAGCTATGTTCACAGATATGTTCTTAAACACAATTTACCACTGCCTTGTAACGATTACAAAAATCCATGCAATTTATGTCCACGGTAAACTTAATTTCAGTCTGCTTTTCAGAAACCTGAGTAAAATATTTGATTTACAAACTAATAAAAACACGCCATCGGATAACTATGTGCTTCTTTTTGAACAGTATAGTTGAGTACAGAACCTGTACTTTAGCAGGTACGTGAATCTTGCACAGTAATCATAGAGAAACATCTAGAAGCACTGGAAATGTGGCTTCTGAGGCAAGTGTAAAGAATGCCATGGAAGGATAGATAAACGATTGAGACAGTCACACTGTGTAATGTAGGCAAGAACACACACCTAGCATAGCATATGATGTTGAAGATGATGATTTTATTCTGACTAAAATTTTATTACATTATAAATTTGCTGTGTTTTGATTCAGTAATAATTATTTGCACATGACAAAACAAACAACACAGAATAACTGATCCGCCTAAATAACAGTGTTTATTTTTATCAAACAGCTTAAACAGTTAATATATATACATCATGGAAATATTTTGTTTCAACTCAGTACATTTTAAAATCAATTATAAAGACAAAGATTAGTATACAACCAAATACAAATGCAAGACACGCAAAAGTGAGAATCAAAATGGTTGTAAATTAAATACAATTTAAATAGAAATGACAGAAATCCAGCATCATCATCTTGTGCTTGCTTGTGTAGTGATAAACCGTTGAACAATGAGCATACAAAAGTATTTTTCTGTTGCACCCAAACTCTTTCTAATTGTCTGCAGACACGCCATGATTCACTGCCATACAACAGAAGAGGTTTTACAAAACATTTCACTATTCTCTCATTTTTGGTAACTGAATAAAGTTGTTTGAGTTCAGGCTCTGAAATATTCTGGGAAGTAAAGGTGATCAGCAACACGATGATGATGACCACATAAGCCATTAAGTGTAGAATAACCTACTGACATACAGGGTAGCACCATTCATGTTTTATGAATGTGATAAATGTACATGTTTCGTTATGCATACGTAATTTTTGTTGGTTATGATGATCCTATTTGTGTTGTAAAAGAGTTAACAGATTACATGGCGCAGTGACAGAGTTAACAGGTTAAGTTCATGACACATGAATAAAGCACACAGATTATGTACACAGTGAATAAAGCACAATTCTTACCTTGACATCAAGAAATAACACTATTCCACACAAGAGAAATAAACACCACACAGACAAATACATTTCCATTTTTTGATTCGAATGAAGATCATCGACATCCGTCTTGTGCAGTGATGTGAAGCAACTGACACCCAGTGTTGACACTTTGGATATTTTACATCCAGATTTAGATGTTTTCCCTTGCATTTAGATGGCGTTTTTGACGTTTAGATGGTAGATGTTTTCCAATTGGAGAGAATTTATCAAATCTAACATAAGAAACAGGATGAAATTTGACCTCTCAAATATTATCTTGACAATAAAATTCGGCATAATAAGAGTAGGAAAAGGCTGTTCCGCTTATCAGCTCCATGATTGGGTATTAAAAGAAACTGGAACAGCTAAAGCATACCAGTCATTTTGGATCTGAAGCTTCAACTTCATGATCCAAGCTAAGTTTATCCTGTGGATCTTTTAAGGCAGAGTTCAGTAAAGATGGGAACATCATTCTTTAGGGTAAGTCATATCAATAGCTATGTAATTTGTGACTCTTTCCATTTGGATGTTTTAAGATGTTTTCCACGCAAATTTAGATGATTTTAAATATTTTTTTACTCCGTTTTGGATGTTTTTTGTCAAAGAAAAGTGGCAACACTGTGTTAGAGGTGTGAACAGTTACAATTCTATCGGCATTGACCCTAGGTCATGCAAACAGACACCGAGCCAGCGTGGAGGAAAGACAAACAAGGTTTACAGCACAGGTTGTTTTTGGTAATGGCGAGAGATAATCCAGACAGACATTGGTAGTGATGTTTTGTAATAATTAATATGTGAAGCGTTTAGTTGAACAGCCTATTAGATATATGGTGTTTTATCTAGACCAGCAGACATTTGATACAGTATGAGACATCTTTAGATCGCCCTTACCTTCCCAAACATTTCCCCATACACCGTCAGAAAAGAGGTGAAAGAGAGAGGCAAGAGACTACTTTTTGTTGCGATGAGTAGATTTGAACCCAGCAAATGGTCATATGGTAGATTTAGTCACTGTGTTATAATGGTCAACATATAGTGACAAAGAGATAAGAGGTGATGTGGAATTGAGAGACATGCATGTACTGTGTCATTATATATATATTTTTTTGTTTGAATGCAAATTATTGACAATGTTACGAAGTTTGCTGTGCATTATGTTACTGTGTAAGATGTACAGAGAGATATAAGATCAACATATAGCAGATGTCCAGACACTTTTGAAACAAGTGAGGATTCGAACCCAAAACACTTGTGTCGGTAGGCAGTCGTAGATATCTACTGCGCACGTGATTAACATTCATGCTGGAGGAAGGTCAGAAATCATTAAAACATTTGACGGCAAAGCTCGTAACTGGTATAATTATGTTTCCCTTTGTACGATAAATGAAATGTGGTACTGGCAGCCAGGAATTGTTTTGGTAACTGTCCAGGCTGTTTTGATATTGTGGAAGGCAGGATGGCTTTGTAAAGAGTTGTCAATGAAAACATTTATTGCCTGGTACCAGAGAGAAACTAAGCAACACAAGTTTGAGTAATCATGCAGGTGGCTGTAAAAGAATTTTATGCTACAGTCATGGGCGTCGAAACAGAACAGACAGAAGTGTATCTTAAATGTGGAATCTGTTTTATGAGATGTAAATGAATGGTTTTAAATACTAACAAATGTATTTTTTAAACTGTATTTGTACGCACACTTTTTGATGATGCATGATAGAATGGTACTCAGAGATTAAAGATGACGTACTGTATATTCAATAGTAGTCACATAAGAAAAGATGTTTTTGATGTATTGTGTACATGTATTAGATGTAAACTCCGCTAAGACCGGCTGTAAAAGGAGGAGGGTCTGGCTGAACCTGAGTGCTTCATGCGTCTCCGGAAGTAGTGGGTAACCCTGAATCAGCCAGACGGCCTGCGTGGAGGCCGCAAGGAGGCAGCCCCTCCACCATGCAAAGGCACAACAGGCCAATCACTTGTTTGCCTTATACCACGATTACAAGTAACTACAGAGAGAAAACCGGACGGATCTTAACGGTGACGAACTGGCATGGCTTACGGACTACGATTTATGGAACATGGAACATAAGAGGAATTAACGGAAAGGAAAACGAGTTAGTAGGGGAGATGAGGAAAGCAAAATTAAGAGTCTTGGCTCTGACTGAAACCAAGAAAAAGGGGCAAGGAATCACAGATCACGATGGAAGTATGCTGCTCTACAGTGGTGTTCCTACGACGGAGAGAGCTAAGGGAGGTGTTGGCTGTATTGTGGCCAGGAACCAAGTTAGTAACATCAAGGGATGGAAATTCATCTCGGAGCGAATTATGGTGTTAGATCTGAAAGAAGAAGATAAAATTGTCAATTTTGTCATTGTGTACGGGCCAAATGAAGATGAGCGAGTAGATGTTAAAGAAGAATTCTTTGAACTGCTCCAAAGAACCATAGATGACTGTCACGATCTCCTAGGAGATCTAAATGCTAGAGTAGGAAATGATCACTCTAGATGGGGTGGAGTGTTCGGGAGATATGCTGAAGATGTTTTGAATGATAATGGCAAGCGACTTCTCAGATTCTGCAGGGAACAGAACCTTGTCATTACAAACACAAAATTCCCCCACAAGCGTATACATGCATACACAAGATGTGAACCTTCAAAGAATGAAAAATACATAATTTACTACGCCATATTTAGTAAAAGTTTATTCAAGTTTGTGAGAGATGCCAGAGTCATGAGAGGACCAGAGATTGGAAGTGACCACTATCTGGTCACAATAAAGAGAACCACTGAAAGAACTGCTCCAACAAGGCAACACTGACAACCGTACAAGAAACCAAGCAACCAAGAAGGGATGAGGATTAAAGCATACAAGCTAAGAG